AGAAACTATAGATTTAATAGAAAAATTCAATCAATTCTGCTGGAGCAGCTAGCTGTGATCCTAGAGGTGGATAACTTGCTGGGTAATAATAGCAACTTAACAAATGAAAATGCATTATTTATTCTATTGCACATTGCACTTTGAAACAAGGGCTTGCTTCTCATTCTGTATTGCTGGAGACTGATGTTGTCCTTTGAAATATTTTATCCTTTCATCAATTAAACTTTGAAGAATTGCATAGATTTCTTTTGTATGGGCATTAAATAAACAAACTATTTGATCCCTGGTTTCAAAGGAGAGATTCAGTCCTGTTTTCCAAACCTCCTACTTAGGAGACTCACTGATTATTTTTACCTTTGTTTGAGATCCACATGTTAAGCGCCTTCATTCCCATAAGATTTACTCCCGTTTCCTCTTGCCTGCAACATACAGTGTGGATAGCTTGATAGTTTATGCACAGAATACTTCCAACCCACACTTTGGCAGTTAGTGAAAGAGAGGATTGTGTGTGTCTTTTTCATCTCGAAAGAAAGAAATGGGAGGAAAGATGCATGCATTCCTACAAATTGCTTGATATGATAATCTGACTCCTTTTGTTTTCTCAAGCATCCATGGAAACAAAAGGCACAATGTGATCCAAATATTTGCACAAAGGAACAGAACTGGAGGGCAGTTCACCACGTGCCCTTTTATGTGTCATGCCTAACTTGGGGCTTAATGTGCCTGGGCTGAGTTTGTGTGCTCAACAGATGGCACGACTGCTTTCAGCTTGTGCCGAGATTCCTGTGCATCCACTCAAGCCCATGTCTTAAGATTCTGTTGCAAAGGCTTCCACAGGTTGATTCACGATGGCTTATTAAGAGATAGGCTCGCAGCACAAGCATGTGAGCACTGCTTCGCTCTGTGCTCAGGCTTAGTGCCCAATCAGATGGGTATTATTCATTCAGCTGGCCATTGCACCCCTTTCCAGATTGGAACCATGGCATGGGGCTTTAATCCTTTGCTCCTGCTTTGGTCCTGATTGGGATTACCCCTCTAACCAGATGTTCCTACTTGAATTGGGAGGAAGGACCGAGGGCTGCTGCCCTCCTGCACAAACCTAGATCAGGAGGAGCACAGTGAGAGCAAAGGGCAGGCGGACTTCCTTCCTTCCCATCTCATTCCAGGCAGGCAGGTTTTCATAAATGTTAATTAATATTTGCCACTATCTAGGGCTTGGACTTCATGCTAAAATGTGGTTGATCAAAAATGGAAGCAGGAACCTCTTCCTCATGGCCATCCTGGGTCAGAAGAGGGGAGGGGTGCGTGTGAACATGGAGCCCGCTGGCTTGGCACATAAGAAGCCGGGAAGCTGCTCCTCTTGAGTCAGACCCTGATCCCTCTTGGCCAGAACTGGCAACACAGGCCAGCAGCAGCTCTCCACGATTTCGGGCAGGGATTTTCCCATCCCTACCAGGAGATGCTGTGGATCAAACCTGGGGCCTTCTGCATGCAGGGCAGGGGCTCTACCACTGAACTCTGGCACCTCTCCAACAATGGCTTAGTATTATGTGCAGCCGCAGCCGCTATATTCTCAAAGGGTGGATTAGTTTGCTCTCTGAATAGATGGAAGCTGTTGTTTCGCTGAAATAGTTTACCCTATCATAAATCAAGCATTAAGAAACCACCTGGATTTCTTTAGACAGCCTATATGGAGTACAAATAGATGGCATATTATTATCCTTTCAGAAGGCACTTAAGGGTGCAAACCCATGGAGTCCCAGCTCCAAGGTTCTGCAAATCCTGGAGCTGGGACTCTTAAAGCAAAACCCTTGCCTACCCCCTCATAGCCAGCATGGAAAGACCTGCACTGGCTCCTGCCCCCCTCCAATTAATAGCTGGGCCTTGCAGAAGGCAAAACGGAACCCTGCAGGCAGCGGGAGAGGCTGGCTCCGGGGCTGATGCTGAATCCCATCAGTACCCCAGCCTCCTCCTCTCCACCTCCCCAGCCTTTCATCCAGAGAGCTGAAAACAGCTGTCTAGATAATACACGCGGCACAAGGCAGGCTTGTGGCAGCCATGGCGCTTTGCTCTGTGCAGCGGGTGCACCCCAGCTTCTGTGTTCAGAGGCTTATATGCATCAATGGTGAGGGGCGCAGTCTTGCACCCGACATCTACATCTAACAAAGCTAGATTCAAATGCAGAAATATAAAGATATGAAATTTTACATTTGAAGACAATGGTCCTTGGGAGGATACTCCAGGTGGCATGGGATAGTTTGGATTGCTTGTTCCACGGGCATGTCCAGCTCCAGAGGGAGAAATCCAACTTCGGATGCCTTCTCCCAATCTCAACAGAGATATTTAAGTCCCTAGTTAAAGCAGAAGGGGTGCAGATCAGGAGATGCTTTGGTCTAATGCGTAAAAATTACCCCAAGGCTCGGAGAAAATGCACATCATCCCAGGAGCTGGTGCACATAAGGGAACTCAAAGAAAAACAATCCCAAAGGGGCAAGAGAAACCCCCCCCCCCAGCAGTGCTTCTTTCTTTCCTGCCAGTGAGGCCTGCGAGGCTGTGGGGAAGGCAATTCCCCCACTGTCTGCCATTGATAGGCTTGCTCCGTCCGCCTTCAATATTAATCTAAGTTACGCTACAAATCTGTTCTCTGCTCAGTTCTTTCTGATTACTGTCGCAAAAGGAAAATGTACTTCTTCTTTGAAGGAACAGCTTTCTGTGTGCTGCATACTAAAACAACACTTGACCCATTCTAAAGGGCAAAGGAACTTCCAGCTTCTCTTGTGGTTTCCCAGATTTGCTGTGTTTGCCTTTGCATTGTCATATTTTCACCCTGTTGCCAAATCATCAATAGCTGTGCTTAGAAACTTAACCAAGAGCAGGCAAGTGGCACCCATGGAATAACACACTTTTCTACACAAGGCTGTTAACCTGATGCTTCTACTTTTGGCTTTCTTTGCAGAGCCCTACACCAGGAGGATTTCATTTTCTACTTCATAACCTCTAGGGGGCACTGTGGCATAGAATAGTAACACAAGTGCACAAGAGGAAATCATGTTTCCTTTCACCTTAGAAATCACACTCCATTTTCTCTGCTCTAAAAATAAAGTAAAAGTGGAGGTCATTATGTCGTCTATAGAGTCCAGAAGCAAGTGTGAGTAGGGTATGCAAGCAGAAAACAAATGTTTCATGTAAAAAAGCTTAACATACGTGTATTACAAGGAAGCAAGCAGTGGGTGTAGAGGAGGAGAGGAAGGTAGGAAAATATTTTTTTTAAATGCTGAATTAAAGCCCATGCTAGAAGATCAATTTTCTAGCCAACTGAGAGTCTGAATAGTTGCCTTAGAAAACTAGATAAGTTTCTGTTGTCTGACTCAAATCCAACCACCTGAAACCTTCCCCTTGGCATTTGTTCTGGCCAGAATGTAGCTGCCCACACATCATTCACTGTTGCTGAAGCCCAGGTGTTCTTTCTTTGCCTAGGAAATGGCAGTTCTGCTCTGGGAAAGACTGATTGCCTTGGAACGCAGAATTTCACTCTCTCAGCTCCTTGTGAAATTTCTTTCGCTGTTTCTGATGACTCATGGCTGCCGAGCAGGTCTGCTGACATCACAGCAGTGGCTATTTCAATCAATTCTGTCTTTTTCCTGTCCTTTTGCTCTTTTGGATAACAACAAAAAGATGCATATGGCAACCTTTGCTGGAGAGATGAGCCCAGTGCATTGCCCGTGCAGACCTGGGGTCCAGCATTAAGCACAGCCCAATAATTTTTATATCTGTTTCTGTGTTTCTTCTAGCTCCTCACTTTCTTTTGCCCATCATTCTTCTTTTCCTAATACAACAACAAAAATGGTGCTGCTGCTAGTGACATATTTCAGTCATGGGTCACAAGCAACAGCAAAAGAAACCAGTGACATAGCCCACAGAAGAAAATATTATAGGGCAAATATGTTATTCAGTTCCTTCAGCAATGTAGACTTTGTTCAAGGTAAAAAGGAGTACAAAGCATTCTGTGGAAGTTTCATAAACAGATTATCCTGTGGTACTCACTGGTTGCTTTTCTATAAGAACTTGCTCTGGTGCAGATAATTAATAGACGTAATTAACATTTAAAAGGCCCTTATAACCATTTTTTTAAAACTCTAGGCTAAATCGTCCTATTAATGTATGGACTGTCACTTTTGTGCTTTAATTAACTGAGTCTGAGCCATGATGGCCTGCTTAACTAGAATGGAGGTCCATATTCACTGAGTTCTCTTTGTAACTTGTCCTAAAACAAGAGTAGACATTCTCATCTCCTCCAGATATTTGGGACTACTTCTCCCATAATCCTTTGTCATTATACCTGCTGGCTGGCTTTATTGGTGTTGTAGTTTCAAAGATATTTGCTCCAGAACTGGGCAGAAACTGGCTGTCCAGATAATTTGGACTCCATCTCCCAAAGCCCCAGTCTACAATCTGATGTGCTGGAAATCTCAACCACCTGGCCATTGACTTCCTGTTCAACCCATGCTGCCCTGTTCTAAACATTCAGCTTTCCTTGAAAGAAAATTGCCTAGACTACTCTAGCAGCAGAAGGAAAATACAGATTTATGCCCACTCATGTATGTGTGGCTCACAGCCTTCTGTGGACTTTGGTTATTCTCTAAGTGATCTACAAGTCCCTGGAACTGACTGTGCCGCCTCATCTCCCACCTCATCAGTCGTGAAGCACCAGTTACTGGATCAATGCTGTTGGGAGCAGTGGGGAAGTGGGGATTTTGAGCAATGCTGCTGGTAGGGTACAAGGAGCCCTTAATGTCCCCAGTTCAAAGATGGGTGAATATATGTGTTTTTGGCTGTGTGAATAGGCAACTGTGTGATGGCCCTGCTCATCCATGCAGCTCTGAAGCTACTCAGACTAGTTGCCCTCTCTTTCATTTGGTGGTGTAAGGCCCATTGAATGCAGTGGGAGTTACTTCAGAGTAAACATGCATCAGCTCAGCCTTTTTCTTGGTGTTTCACAGAGAGGGAGCTCTTGTGCTCTTCAAGCCAGATCCAGCATGTTTCCTGGAGGTACGTCTGAGAGAATTCCATGACTCTTTCTTCCTGGTAAGTATGTGCCGGGAAGCAGCTTTATAATGATACACTTTTTGTGTCTTTGAATTGCCAACTGGGGTTTTTTAAATATCCAATAAAACAAGGAAATGCTTGTTGCACATGCATACATCACCAAGAGGGATCATTAGAAGCTCAGGAGCAGAAATATCTGCTGTGTAGTGAACACAGACTAAAACGGTGACCTCAATTACCACAGACTTCAGGTATGACAGAAAGTTGCTCCTCCTTGGCTGAGCAAATAAGTGGCAACAGCTGTGGAAGCCCTTCGGGAGCTGCGCTGTAAAGGAAGGAATATTTGGCTACGTAAATAAAGGAGAAATACAGCAATACCTGATTTTCCTTGACAGTTTTGCCATCTTCCATTCCTTCTTGTGTAGCTTGATTTCTCTCTGTTTCCTTAGCCTGGATTTTTATTCTTCCTTTCGGATCAACCATTTTTTCATTTGTAACCAAAACAGTTCATGAAAACTGTGATGGCTTCAATCCAATACAGAGTTTGGCATTCTTACACCCACTCAAACCAATGGGCTAGGAATGAATTGTCCTGGAGCTAGTGAGTTTTAGTGCTCATTGTACTGATTCTTAAATGGTGTGTCATTAAAGAAATGTGAGTATAGCAATTCAAGACTACCTTCCTTGAATATATGGTGCACATCTACAAGGGAGTTTCCTGCTGAACCCCAGCTTGATGGACTACACGGGGTTGTCTCCTTCCAAACGTGGATCCAAGCTTTTGCCGTGGATGAAGCAGCAGTCCTTCTCTTCCTCTTCAGGAGCAACTGCCTAAGCTGTCTCTGTGTTGGGAAGTCCTGGTCCCATTTTCACCCAGCCCATGCAGGAAACCGCTACTCTGCAGTGGGCAGCTTCTTAGTGCTGTGCTTTCATATCCTGAGCTAACTCCATCCACCAGGCAGGCCATTAGAAAAGAGGATAAAAGGATTTCATGAACTCACTTGAACTCAGTTGCTTGATCAGCAAGGCTCCTGAGTCTTGGTGTTGTCCTTTATCTTTTGTTTTTGTTCTGTTGGGTCCTAGTTTCTGGCTCAGTCTATGACCCTGCCTCTGTTTTTTTTTCTTCCAGTTTGGATGGCTGGCTGGTCCCATGGTTCCTGGGTGCTAGTTTTGGTTAGCTGCAGCCAGCTGACCGTCACACAGCCCTGATGCTTCACATCAGAATTGGGAAGGGTTGAGACAGTGAGACAGTTACTGTTGGGGTGGCACTGACTTATCAGAAGAAGACAGCAAAGACTGGGAAATAGGGGGAAGGAATCAAGGGGGCAGAAAATGTCTCAAGGCTAGGCCACATGGCTCCCTCTGCACATTCATTCAATGCATGAAGGAGGGTGGGCACCCTCCATTATACACAGACTTTGAAAGTAGGTCTTTGGGCAGGTGTCAGGGCAGTGCTTGAATTAGGAACACAAGATCAGACCATCTTGGCATGCATTCTGCTCACACAGTGGCCAACCCACTGCCTGTGAGAAGCTCACGAGAGGACATGAGTGCTCATGGTCCCAGCAGTCCACAGGCATAGTTCTGCTGAAACTGGAAGTAGTGCTTAGCCATCAGGATGTGTAGCCAGAACTTGTCCAATACAAGCTGTTACAGCTGTCCAAATTGGTGACCATCATGACATCTTGTTGAAGTTTAACTGTGCCCTGTGTGAAGAAGCACTTCCTTCCATCTGTCTAGGTTCTAGTTTTATGAGAGTGAGAGAACAATGTCTCTTCTTTAGTTTCTCCACATCGTGTATCATTTTGTATACCCTAACCTCTTTTGCTGGCCTCTTTTTCTAAACTATGTAAGGAGAAAGGTAGGATGTTTAATGAAATTCATAAGCCACATCTCAGTGCCTCTCAACTTTAGCTAAAACTTGCTTCTCCTCCTGTAACCATCTAAAGAGGGTAGGTAAAGATGTTTGTTGAGGCTTGTTAGAACCACAAGCTTTACAAATGTATCTTAACCGTCTTTGTTTGGGAAGCTATTTGTCCCAGTACTTGGATGGCAAAGTCAACCTCATTCAGCTGAAGAAAAATGAAAATAATCCTGTGGCCCCCAATATCTTATGGTTGTCCATCGCTTTCTCTGGAGTCCCAGCACCAAGGTTTTCTGACAGTGCTGCTTGCGTTCTGGTGGCCAAATCCCACCCCAGCTGCTCTCACAGCCAGCATGGAAACATCTGTGCCCACTGTCTGTCCAAGGGCAGAAATGGATCTTAGAAGGGGAAAGTGTGGAGGGAAGAGGCTGGGCCCAGCTGCCTGTATCATTCCCCACTGATGACCCAGCCACCTTGTCTTCTTCTCCCTGATGCTTTATCTAGATGGCTAAAAATAACCATGCTTCATTCTGGTAATTGGATGCATGGATCTCTCCAAGTTTGGAGGTTTCTGTGCATCTAGGGTGGCAGCAATAGGATCATGTCCATAATCACTTGGAATCTTGTGCACTGTATATACAAGAAATGGTAGGCTGAACTGTTAGGTTGCTTAAATCTTATTAAAGTTGTTCAGATCTAAGCAGCTTTTGTGCCCTAAATAGAAAATGACTTAGGGCACAAGTCATCTGAAATGAATCATTTTTAAATCCTTATAATTTCAAGAGAAGAGTTGAGCATATGTTTTAGATAATTTTCACTGAAGTTAATAGGACTTTAAAAGCTTAACTGGTTGATTTAAGAATAAATAGAATGAAATGACTTCTCCAGAGTTCTAAAATTTAAATAGCCTCTAAAATGCTAAATAATTCCTGAATAGTCCAGAACTGCTCTGCATACCTGGCAACCATAATCAATTATCCTTGATTTCCCAAAATAAGGATAAAGATACTTTTTCTGTTTCACAGGAGTTGGGTTTAAAGTACAGCTGAACAAAATAGTTGGAATGCATGAAAGCCCATCAATAAAATTGCACCTGTCTTTTCAGCATCCATGCAAGATCTTTCTGTCTGAGAAAAGCTTCCATTTGCTACTGCTATTCACATCTGGGAAGGAACAGCCAAATGCTTTTTCAATTATTCTCAAACACTTCAAAGATGAACTGTCCCATTTCACATAACAAAAATGTCCATTTTCAGATTGAGTGTGGAATTTTTCACCTGTCTGGGAGAACCCAATATTGTCAAAGAGAAATAATATATGATTTAGACTAGATCATGCCTTGACTGCAAAACTCCAGAAGTGATCAGCTTACTTAGAATGTAATAGATTACATATGCCATAATTAGATAGTCCTGTAGGAGCTCTTCCTTTGCCCAGGGAAAGCTCATTTTTATCTGCTTTCCAAACAGTCCAAAGATGAAGCAAGACCAATCTTTTTAATTGCTCTTTCTCTGTTAATAGCATTTGCAGTACATCTGACATATCCAATACTAATTAAGTTCTTGGTTATAATGTTAATTTTCCCATGGCCAAGTTATGTGCTCCAGCATGATGGAGGCAGTTCCAGGTGAGGTGCTTTAAATTTTCAAAGGGTGCAGTCCTGTGCCTGCTGCTTTCACTTCACAGAAGCACCTGAGCTTGGAGGCGCATGTGCATTCTGTGCACGGAATGAGGTGTAGCAGTGACAATCTGCCACTGCAGTGCCTTGCATGTGTATTTCATCTAGGCAGCTGTTTCTGGTCATCTGGATAAAGCACCAGGTAGGGAGAGGGGAGGAGCTTGGAATCTACCAGAAGAACCTTCAGGGTGGTGGCCCCATTTCTGTAGAATTCCCTGTGGTAGCAGATGCCACAGTTTAACTGCAGTTTTATTTCTTGCATTTCTATACTGAGCACTAGCCAAAGTCCCCCATGTGCTGTGTGTGAGCACTACAGAACTTTGGTTAGTGAGCAATATAGAAACATAGTCTGTTTGTCCCACATCTCCTTCCATCCAGCTTCATTGGATGAGCCTGCGTTCTAGTATGATGAGAGATGGAGAAAACCCTCTCCCTATTCCCTGTCTCCACACTGAGCATAAAGTTATATACCACCGTTATCTAAACTCAATAGCCCCGAACAGTGTATCATTTAATTGCAGGGGAGATGCTCTGGTCCCCTGATTATTTTGATTGCTCTTTCCGGCTCCATAATCTCCCACTTGATATGTTTTGTTTAGTCGCAAAGTCGTGTCTGACCCATCGCGACACCATGGACAACATTCCTCCAGACTCTCCTGTGCTCCATCATCCCCCAGAGTCCACTTAAGCTCACACCAACTGCTTCAGTGACTCCATCCAGCCACCTCACCCTCTGCCGTCCCCTTCTCCTTTTGCCATCTATTGTTCCCAGCATTAGGCTCTTCTCCAGGGAGTCCTTCCTTCTCATTAGGTGGCCAAAGTATTTCAGTTTCATCTTCAGGATCTGGCCTTCTAAAGAGCAGTCAGGGTTGATCTCCTCTAGGACTGACCTGCTTGATACACACTATTGCAGGTGTTTCATTTTGTAGGATTTACTTCTCTGGAAGCACTGAGAGAAGTGTGTGTGTGTGTGTGTGTGTGTGTGTGTGTGTAGGATCCCTAGGAGCAGATCCCTGGCTATCACTTGTATTGCAAATAGAACCCGGTGCAGTCAGGCTGCCTCTGACTTGCTGCTTCCCTGGAAATGTGCACACGCTCCATGAACTCCATTTTTGAAGCACTTCTTCACTAGTGGCAGTGGGTTCTGGGCATGGAGCCCGAGGGTGCCGTCCACCACGCACGAGCGTTGCTTGCAAAATGCTGGTACAAAGGCTGTCCTCATGCAGCACCTTTAGTCCATTGCTATCCTGGCCAGCTTGTGATGCCCATAGAATCAAGCAATAAATGTTCTGGAAATATGCCTGACAACTGAGCAGTTCATACTTTCCACAACTCCCCGTACATCTTCAATTCAAGTAGGGTATTTTGCGTCGCATAACTGTTTATGACGGCAATGTATTATTTTCAGAAATAAGGTCATGCGGAGACTTCTGTATTACCAGGCCAGCAAGGATTGCCTCGCTCTGACCCTTCCTTTGCCTCATGGTAGGCATAATAAGAGGCTCAGGACTTAACACTGTTATTTCCTTCTTTGAGTCATAGCTCAGATATGAGGCTCAGGATGTGGATGGCTGGGTGGGATGGGCAGAATGCTGAGACCAGGGAGCCAGTGCAGGTGGGGCTCCATAGAGGTTTGTGCAGCCAGAACTGGCAATGTGGTCAATGGCCCAGGGTCAAAAGTGAGGAAGCAGGCAGTCTGATGAAAAGAGAGAGAGAGAGCAGTCCACAAACAGTCCAGAGGTCAAAAGCCGGGGAGCACTTACATGAAAGTGGTCAAGAAGAGGGAGGTTGTGCAGATCGGCAGGAGCTGATGGGAGCATTGTAGGAGCAAGGAAGGGACAGGCTGGAACCAGGCAAAGACTAACTGGAGCAAGGCAGGAGCAGAGCTGGAGAGAGGAAAGGATGACTGGAACAGGGCTGGGACTAGACCTGGAGTGAAGCACGGAGGTGCAGAGAGCAGAGCACCAGGATGTGTGCGGATGGTTTGCATTGCTCTGGCAGAGAGCAGCCGTGCACAGAGGCCCTTTCTGCTGGTTTCTGGGCCCCCCACTGCACCGCACAATTGCCTCTCAGCCGTTCCCGCAGGCACCTGAGACGGTCCTCCTGGTTCTGCAGGCACTTGCAGGGTGTGTCCAGCCCTGGTCCTGACACAGCATGGCTCTCCAGGTAGCATAGGAGAACCAGTTCAAATAGTGTAAAATGAGAACGCACATTAAAATGCAGCAAAAATGTAACCATGGCCAAATAAAGCAGCACCAGACCCCAGGAGTCACTCACAAGCCAAAAGCCTTGCCTTGAGCAGAGCTGTCGTTGCCCGGCCAAGCAATCCTGGCCTCCCTCGTGAGGGAGTTCCATGGCCTGGGATGATAACAGAAGTAACAGGATTAAGAGCGGGCCTGAAGCCCAAGAAGGATGTGCTCATCTGATGTGAAATCGGCTCAAAGAAGACTAATGGACAGAGCACTCGATCTTGTCTGGGGTGTGAGGAACAGGTTAACATGAGAGGGAGGCATGCAGGAGCAGGTCACAGGGTTGTACTGATTAGGTCTTTTGAGTACCAGATTCCAGTTCATGAGGAGAGGACTGGCCTTTCATGGGGTCGCTAATCTTAGGGAGCTGAGGGGGAGAAGCAGCAAAATGCTCCCCCTGACGCCTTGTTCCCACCCCCTGAGAGCCTGTTGCAAGGCCCAGAGAGCTATAGAGAGCCCCACCACCGACTGCAGGGGTCAATCTTATACTGATACCTGCCTTGCCTGCCTTCTTATGGCCAAAAGATGGAGATTGGATCGGATTGGCAATCTCATTTTGCCAATGAGCCGTGTTGCTGGGAGATCTTTCTCAAACTGGGACCACACCAGGGGAGGGAAGGACGAATGTTGATTTCACCATGGATTTTGGATTCTCCCCTTCCCCACTTCATGGACTAACAACGCTTCCTTCATTATTTGTGCACTCCAGCTAAAGTGTGCTAACTCGTGACTCTCAAGACATGTTGCACCACCCCGGCGATAACCCATGTGAAGTGTCTGAATAGTTCACAGTGCAACCAACAATGATCAGGCTGTCTCTGGGTTGTCCCCACACCCCGTCTTTCTGCAGGTATCCCAGGAGTCGCCAACAGCAGGACCAACTTGTCTGCTCTTCTCCTGCCACAACCACAAGCCCTTTTTTACTCACTGCATCTTTCCCCTTGAAATTGACAGCTAGTGACATCTCCTCCGAAGTGCCCCAAAGGCACATTGGAAGGCCTTCTACTGGTTGGCCACCATTTTTTTAAATTGCAGCCCAAATGTATGCAATGTTTTAACTGCAGAGGTGGTCAGTTTCATGGATCTAAAAATGGGAAGCAATGTCCAGAAGTGTGTGTGTGTGTGAGGGGGGGACCTGCTGCACTTTGACGTATCCACAGTACTTCTCAATATCCATGAAAGGATCAGCTGTCTGGCTTCCGATGACACAGCACACCATTACTGGCACATCACTAGAATAAGCTGTCAGCTGGCAGGGTGCCTTTTGCCCTCAAACAAACTATCTTTTGGGAAGCTGTCTGGGTTTGCATGACACAACAGCCCACTGCAGCTTGTCACCCATGATGGGTTGTCATGTAGTGTGAACCCAGCAAACAATTGCTGCACCCTTAACCAGAAGGTCTTTTTTCGGTGTGGGCTCATGCCAGCCTCTATCAAGTACGTTGACATTGGCTTTTCCTGCTTTTATGTTCTCTGTCAGACAGAAAGTGTAAACAGTTAATTTCTGCTAATGGTGCTGCTATTTCAGCAGGAGGCCAGCGGGGTCTGCATGAGAGTCAGGTCACCATTTCCATTATAAACATTCAGTTCTCAGATTCTGTGTATCTCCAACATTTGTCACTCCAAACAGAAATAAGGCCCCAACAACAAACTATTAATCAGAGGGTCCAGATCCTCAGCTGGCATTTCCTTGCTCTGTTTGCTTCAGTGGCATGCCGCCAGTATGAGAACTGAAATGTGGCACTTTTATTTAAAAGCCCTGTCACTATTTTCATTCAAGTGCAGCGGAAACAGATGCTCCAATTTGACACTTGGTTTAGAAGGCTCCTGTGTTATTAGGAAGGTGGGAGCTTTGCCCCATTGTTGGGAAGAAAATTGCTAATGGAAGTTTGTTCAGAATCAAATGACCTGCATTGGAATAGTCATGCTTAATGGTGTGAGGTGTCCTGTGTCCTTCCAAAATGCAGGCAGGCGCAAATTGAGCTGCTTGAACAGGTTGCTTAATTTGCTCCGATGCCTTTACCAAGGTGATCAACATATGGCACTGGAGCAGCCCCAGCTGGGAATGGCCTGGACGCTCTCATTTTCTCCTGCAGTCTTGAGGCTTTAGCCGTTGTGATAAACCAGAAGAGAAAGAGGGAGAGTGGAAGATTATGAGACACTTTCTGAAAGGAAACCAAAAGTACACAGGGAACCTTGAAGCAAGTCAACCTGAGACCTGCATTGCAGCAAAAATACAAAACTCAAAGGTTCACGAGAAGTTTGGAGAACCTCTTAAATTGTGAAAAATAGCACCTGTGGGGGAGGCTGCACATCTGTTCTGCTGATGCACTTGGGAAGGGTTTGTTAAAATAGGATGGCTTGCAGGGTTTCTTTTCAAGCCTCTTTGCAGCATATGTTGAGGTACTTGCTCACTTTGGAAATACATGTTCTGAACAGCAGGGTTGGGGTTGGTTTTGTGGTCACTACCATTGTGCACAAGCCCTTCATCTCAGAAGTCTCGCTTTTCTTGTTAATTGAGAGAGCTGTCCAGTTGTGAGCCAGGGTTCTCCACATGAGTAAACATGCTACGCCAGAACTACTTTTCCAAAAGACTTTCTTGCTACATGCCTGTGAGTTCACTGAGAGTGGAATGTTGAGCCCTTTTTAACACCAATCTTTCCCTTGCTTCTTTATAACCCCTTCAGCATCTTGCTTCTCAGGTCACAGAGATGAGGAATCATGCCAACCTGTACTCTTCCCATTTTTCACCCAAATGAAACTCCCACCGGTACTGTCAACCTCTTCAGGAGGAGGGACTTATATGTCCAACAAACGACTGAGTTCCTATCCCCATTCCCCTGCTCTCCAGCCTCCAGCTTCACCTCCTCTCCACAGATTGGTAGATGGGGCTGCCAACCTCTCCTTTCCCCCATCTCCCTATTCCCATGGGTAGATCAACCTGGGCTCTCATCAACCTGAACAGTCAACTCCTCCCCCTTCATCTCTCCAGACATTCCCTGACCTTTGTTTACTGTTTGGACATGTTGAGATTCCACACGAATCTCATTCTCACTATCTGAGCTTGTGTTCCCATTGAACTGGGAAGCTGCACATGCACACAGGGCCACCCTGGTACAGTGCGCATGCACACCATATCCAGTGGCTCCTTCCATCAATGCGAAATTATACCCCCCACATAATGGAAGTCCAGGCAGTTCCATTGTTGTATGTACTCTATTGTCTGGATAATTATATTTTGCTGCTGCCATGATAGGAGGAGGTTTATTCATTTCTGAATAAACCTTCATGTTGCTGTGGCATTATTTCTGTCATATTATTGTACGTGTTCCATAACACACTTAAAGAGATTCAAGAGTGGCAGAGCTTATGAAAGATACAACCATGGGTCTTTTCTACACATTTCTGTGCTGCATCTACTTTCAATTTTTCCTTTCCTGCTTTTCTGCTACATAACCCCAGGTGACACCATAGTATAGCAGAATGACACAAGTGACAACACATTTTTTTCACTTTCAGAAATAGTTGCCCATTCTCCTTACTGTCAGAAAACCTCACCAAAACACCTGTTTGAAAACAGAAGTGAAACTGGAGCGTCCTAATGTTGTCCAAAGGACCTGCGTATGGAATGATAACCACACAATAAAATGCCTGATGTAGAAAAGTTGTAGCAAGCTCTTTTCCACAGCTCCTTACCTTCTTGAAAGTGAAGGGGCTCTTCTCTCCAGATCTTATCTGTTATATGAACCATATTAGGCCTTGCTTGGCATAAGTAGAAACATTGCCTTAGAGTCACCTCTTGTTTAGTTCACTAGGTGTTGTTTTCCTGAGGCCCTTCAAACAACTAAACACATACGCAGCTGTGTTTGGCCACCTTATCAGACCAGGTAATGAGTTTCTGCTTGGTGTTATTTATGTTCAGCTTAATGAGAATTCTGACTGAAGACCTCAAGTATTATGACTTAGGGCTGGCTAACAAAGATGGGAACCTTCATGTTGCATAGAATACAATGATGGGAGGCTGCATATAGTACACAGATGGACTTGCTGACAAGGTAAACAAGTAGTTGTGTACTGTCTAGTCCTTGCTCCTGTGCAATATCCAGCCCCTTCCTCATGAGTAGTCAATAAAGGCTAGCCATTTTTCCTTGCGTGGTGGTGGCTGTTGTTGTTGTCCAGACACCAAGCATTCTCAAGGATCATTGTTGGCTGTCCATTCCAGCTGATTGGAACCTCTTAGCTTGCAGGTTTATGCTGAGTGTTGTAACTGTCTTGCTTGCCAAACCCTCTGAGATGCTAGTTTTTGGAGTAATTTGCTTGTCTTTTAAATATAGCCTCCTTTTAACTAAACCTCGCTCCTAGCTTACCGAGTTCTCGGGGGACACTCAAACCAGTAGCCCGAAGTTGGGCTGGAACAGTGGCTGGTGGGCAGAGGAACTGTGAGCATAAGCTGCTTTCAGAGCAATTGCATTTGGTAGCATAGGCATGCAATGCAAATGCAGAACCACAAATGCAGCACATGTGTGAAGAGAGGCTCTACTAGAAAACAAAGTAATTAGTATTGACAGATATCTCTAGCTGCTTGCCTAGCAAGTGCTCTATGAAATACCGTTCCCGAGCAGTGCATCTTAAAATCCCCGCCTCTCTTTAGTTCTCATCCTGCCACAGTTCCCAGGATAAGCAAACAAAGGCTGCAAGAACGGACCTGTCAGAGAGTGACATGGCAGGCTTCTGACAGCTGTGTTTGAACACCATTCTTCAGGAATGAGAAACAGTGCATTAAAAATAGCCTTTATGCAGTGTACCAATCACTGCCTGACAGGCTCCCTTTTAGTTACAAAGGAACTATTAGGTGTGATGACGAACCATGCAAAGCCATTTACCAGTGGGAAAAGGCATTATCCCTCCTAAGAGATGGAATGTGTTTGCATCCATTAAGCCTGGCTTGGGGACCTACAGGCCTCCAGATGTTCATGTGCAACCCTCCAGAACTCCAATTCCTATCAGCCCCAGTGGGGAAGTGAGCTCTGGATTTAATGCTCTTATAGTGCTGTAACATAGCTGTATGGAAGAACGTAATTGGATTTATGAAGTAGTTAAACCTGATATTTATGGATGGTCCCAAGCATTTTTGGTTATGAACCCACAGAAATCCAGGCATGAGATGTATTTATGCACCCTTAGACAGAAGTCCTATAATTCCCAGTATGCCCCACGTAACTGTGCTGGGTGGGGAATGCTGGGAGGTGTAGGACATCTTTTCTATCTGAACATACATAGGATTGTGCCCTAAATGAATTGGCCTGCTCAGTGTTTGTGTGTTGAGAGAATGATGGGGACAGCACTATTAACACACACAACTAAGAATCAATCTGTTTGCCAGTAGGATATATTGTATTGCCAATGACATTCTTCTCCTCCAAATCAATGAGTTAATTATTTTGAAAATATGCCCTTAAAGACAAAGGAAAGGCACAAGGGAGACACTGCTGTTAGCGATACTGAAGGAACACCTGTGAACAATGCCCTGCCCTTTGGAATTATGTGTCCCTCCGACACGGCTGGAGCCAGAGAGGGCGAGCATCACATCTGAATGGGCCTTTTGGCTTGGTAAATTTGACATTTTCAGGCTTCAGGGATTCTATAAAAGAAATAAAGCAAGTATGCGGGTTTAATTTCATGGGATACAGTTTTCTCAATGAAATTGGCCATATTTTCTCTCTCTGCAACAAATCTCATTTTCAGTCTGATTTTGTTTTTGCCTCTTTATGATAGATCTAGATTGGGTTTTAGGGAGTTGAACTCATACATTTCATTCTGAAAAGACTAAGGAAAGTGCTACTCCTGGAGGATATCCTGCTATCCTGTATGCCTTGTATATAATAGATAAATTGCATGTGGTGTTGGCATCAGATGTGCCAACATGCTATTTTTATTACTATTGGTAAAAACAGGA